ATTTTCACATTTTCTTCGCCTGTCACTCGTCTAGTTCAAAGTTAAGTTTTGTAAATAGCTGACATTCCTTACTTTTGTTCGGTTTTGTTTTATGTTAGGCATTCGACCGGTCAATTCGATTCGGCCATGTTTGTTTGATCTTTCAAACAGTACAGACGATGTTCTACAGACGATGCGTGGACAAGAATGTGGTATTGTCAGTGGGATAAGCGTAAAAGTGTGTGGTTAAAGAATCAATTAGTTAAATAACGTGTTTAGAGATTTCTACATAAGTTTGTTTTTTACTGGGAGTCGTTGCTTTGAATTTTTGCTTTCTGGCTTATGCTCTGTTGTTGAATGTGCTTACTTAAATCGTTTTAGAACTTGCTTTTGTTATTTTGTTTAAACTTCGAAATGGGGATTCGCTTTAGGAATTTGTCTACGTAAATTTTTATACGTGGATTGACTTTAGCTTCAATGTTTTACTTTGTCAAATATATAGTTGGCTAGTTATGCCACTGAAGCTATATTGCTACATAAAACATTTTATTGGAGTCAGAATCGTTATCATAAATACTGATTAGTTGAAATTTGTACATAATTAAGACTTTCTATGTGAAGTGTTTCCGTTGTTATTTTTTTATTTGTATAATCTGATTTTTCTATTAGTTACTGGCAGTGGTTTGATAAGAAGAGTTAAACATCGAGCTCAGTGGCGTGCAATCAAGAAGGCTTATGTTCAGTATTTAAGCAGTGGTCGGAATCAGGCTGATGATGATGATGATGGTCGCTAAAATTTTGTTTGGATGTTGTTCAACTTTTGCGTTTTTCATAAATTTTATTTTCCCTTCCACAAAAATAATTATGTGCTTTCATAAATTTTCTAATTAGTTTCAGTATTGGTAATTTTCTTATAAACTTTTTTTTGTTTACATACATATGATACTCTTCAAAGATTTACAATAATTATACATTTGACCTACAAACTGTGATTGTATGTTTGTTCGTAGCTGTTATGGATTGTTTCACGAGATTTAAATGACATAATGATGGGTTGTGCATAGAATGCTTACAAAATAATGACATACTAGCTATGCATTCAATGTGTATAGATGTTATTACATTGATTAATTACTAATATTTGGTTCTTGCGTTTATTAAGATTGTAGTTTCGTAATATTATGGCCAAGAATGCAATTTATATTTTTACTTTAACCTTTTTAGTGCACCTCTTTTAATGTTGCTTTTTATTTTAGAGTAGTTCTATGACGAATTTGTTTTAAATGTGGGAGACACATAAATAGCTGGAAACCGGAATGATAAGCAATAGGCGTCGCCAATGGACATTCATAGGCTTACTAATATGGATTGAAAATGAGGTAGCTGCAAGACATGGCCTGTTGTAACATTGTAGTACATATTATTTAATTGACATATGCGTTACTTTATATTCATAATAAATGGCATGCTCAATTGCCATGGGACTTTGTTTCTTTAGGTAGGTTTTCAACCTTTTTTCAACATAAACTGTTTTCACTAGTTGTAGTTCTTATATAAGAGAAGACATACAAATTATATAGATACACATCTCCGTCGGATCGGACTTGGGACGCCTCATTAGACAGATTCATTGCATACAAAAATTCAAATTTAATAGACTAGATGTGAGTATACTTACTCAGACAACGTCAGAAGAAGCGATTGTATATATATATATTGGTTCAAGGTGTCAAAGACTGATGACATTATTTATACAGTTATTGGCTTAACTTACCCTTTTATTTTAAAATTTTATATGCAGTTATTTACTAACACTTTGTATAATGTACTGGACATCGGCTGGCATATCCTTACTGATGAAATTCGTTTATGGGAGACTCGTAAAGATTAAAAAAGTATAATAGTACACATAATGTGTAGTGATATATTATATTCTACTTAAACGTTATATGTGAAGGGGACAATGAAGATCCTGCGACACACACAGAAACCTGCGTGCGAAGTATGTCACAACCCCCGCATACTTCAGCGCAGTGCTCAATGGCATGGAATCCTTTGTCTTCTCAATGCAGTGTCATAGCAGGCATGTCCCAGTATCTCTGGCATTCTCAGCCAGGTGTATTCCGGCGAAATTTTGCTTCGGGTTTCATTAATTTTATGTTTATGTTTAACAAACTAATATTATAAATGCGAAAGTAACTCTGTCTGTCTTTTATTCACGCCTAAACTAATAACCAATTTCTGTGAAATTTGGTACATAAATAGTACTAGTTTTTTTTGTAAAATATTTATAAATTGTTTGCGAACTTATTTGATCAGGTATGTTGGAGAAAATTGTTTAAAGATATTTTTTAAACAGAAAGCAACGTATCAGGCGGATTGTAAGTAGTCGGCACCACTATTGGAAAACTGCAACAATAGAAAATGTGGAGAGGAGAAGGAGTATGATCGTTTCTGAAGTTAGTGTCGGTTTGGAAAAAGATATTCTAAAGGTAGATGTTCGCGAAAATCGCACAGTTGTTGTTCGCCACCCATCCTAATAATATCGTCATCATTTGATGAGGACAGAAGTGTGGTCGCGTGGTTTCGCGAAAAGATGCGACAGGGATCTAACTGAACTATTCCTAGTCGCGCTCACCATTTTATTAGCGGTAGAAGGGATTAAGCCGGCCGGTAAACTCGCTCACACGGCGAAACAACGCTGTGGTTGTTTCACTTCGGTTTTCAGTAGGGTACCTAAATAAGATTCTGATAACGTCACAGAGTACTTCAATGCCCCCTTGAGAATAAGTAGGCTAGAGTAAGATTGAGATGTAACATTCTAAACATTTGAGCATTTATAACAATTTGAAATGAAACAACAGAATGCACAGTTAAACATAATTTATTTCATATTATTTAAGTATCACAGATCCATTTATTTTAATATTCATCACGTTAACAAAAATATATATAGTCTACGGGGTGGTGACGTCACCAGTACATAGCATATTATATGTTCCGACTACAATATAACTGCGATACATGATATTTACAATCTATCACATTATATACATTCATAGAAAATTGATCTCTATTGGCTCGTATCAATGTCGAAATTGGACTGGAAGTAATTATTACAATAAGTATCAAATTTTAATGTACTATATGGTTCGTAGATATTATAATTGTTTATTTTTTTTTTACCCAAATTAATAATCCGTTTTGTTACGAGAATATGAAAGGAACTATTCGACTTATGACATCAACGACGGAATTAGACAAAAGTATAAATGAAAGCTGTATTTACCACCCAAAATTCTCAATGATTAATGACTACATTTGTAGAGTAAAAATGATAATATAACATGGGAAAGTAACGTTTTAAACATCTGTCCAATAACAACCCCTTAAAAACAGGTGTTTAGTATAATTATAACTTTAAAACAGGACGATTAATCGCTGTCCACAAATTGGTAATCAGTGTAGGAACTACACTTTGGAACGAGCTTCAAGTCTGAGCGACATACAGATAGACTTTTTAATCTTTAAATCTTTTGTTGACGTCCAAAAATGCCTCATAATGTTCTAATCAAAATAAATGATTTAGATTGAACTTTTGTTTTTGTAAAATTGTATGTTTATGAATGCACCCACATGAGAGTATTAATGTGTGGGGCGAACGCACGCTGCTTATGAATAAGAGTCCCGTTATGGCTTGAAACTAGTAGAGTTTTACTCGATTTGTTCACCGCAGCAACAAATATGTGCGGCAGTTTAAAAAGCCCTCTTTTCAATTCTTGACATGAAATCAATTAAGTAGGATAACTTATTTTTATAAAAATTCTGTTTTTCATTAGAATTGTTTATTGTTATATAAATACTGTCAACAAAACTGTGTAACGTATTCATTGCAATTAAAATTGTATAAAACGAACGAACAAAATATGAAATATCCCTGAGGCCTTACAACGCGATCGGTGTTATCAAGTTGTCATCGCACGCGGTGAAAGTTAAATTAAAAATGTTTTTATTCATTTCATACTTAAATAACACCGCGATATTATTTCTCCAAAGGGATAGACGACGATAGAGAAGCTATAATTTGTAAAACATAATGTCTATTTAGGTCTTTAATCAGGTTCAGCCGGGGTTGCGTGGTAAGCTCAATAAGGCAGCGCGGCTTTGGCCCAGAGCAGGAGAAGAAACAGGGGGTTTTTGCCAGCAAGAGTCTGACACTCCCTTTAGCCTTTACCCTGGGTGAGAGAAATAATTAGATGATTTTTCAGGACGGGAAACGAGCAGGTAAATACAGGACCTATTTTGAGTCTTTTTGGGGTATTTTTAATAACAATAATACGTTAGGTTTTTAAGACGAATTTCAAAAATTGGATTGTTAAATTTTTGTTCCTTTTCATATGAACCAGCCTCTTAAAGACTTGGATAAGTTATAACACAGCAATTTGATATCTGCTGTCCCGAATAAAAACTTTTTAAATCAATATTTGTTCGATATCTTAAATTATTTCCAGTCCTATTGCGACAGTGCACGATATAAAAAGACGAAGGTAGCAAGATCTTTTCTATTGGTAGCTGAAATCATTTAGTTCTGTTTTGTACGCGATAATTAAGAAGGGCAGTGATTAGTGGCAGATTTCTATACTTTTATGTAGCTTAGTTGTTTATTGGAAAATTTAATTTCTTGTAAACGACGCAATACTTTGTATTATCCATTACTTACATTTGAAAGAGGATGAGAAATAGATTTTTTTCAAGAACCTACATAAAAAGTATAAAGGTATTTTGAGATTGGATCAAAACTATCGCGTACAAATACAACTAAAAAGAGACTTAATCATAGGTTACGTTGAAATAGATTTAGATATAAATGCAGTTGTGAAGTCTTTTATAGTACAAGAGACTATTAGATGAATTTCTCATTATTCAGTACATGTGGCGCGGTAGTGAATGTATTCAGATAGCGGTGTGTTGTTAAAGCTCATCGTGTGTTTATAAATATTGAAAATTCATCTAACATCAAATAAAAATACTTATGTATATTGTAACTTTAAACAGTAGCTAAGTAAGCTCAGAGTTAGACACGTATAACATTCTCTTTTAGATAATATTGCCAAAATGTTTGCTGTGGCAGTCAATATTTGGCACAAAGTTCGAATCTATTAAAAAGCAAATTCAAATTATTGCGAGCAAATAAAATAGAAAAATAAGCAAATTTCTCAGTTAATAAAACACTCAAACACTATACAAAAAATAACAAAATAACCAACTGACGCCGACCGTCTCGAGTCGGCAATGTTTCTTTAAAAGACATTGTAGGCACTATTATTGCTAATATAATATAATTTATTCATCAATCGCTTATCTACAGCATAGAATATTCTATACAAAATATACTACGAAGATTTTACAAACTTAGGCCGTCGGCCTACGAAACTATACTTTTTTCTAACGTAACATTTAAACTACTCATTAGTTTACCAACAATCGTCCATGTACATTCGTTCGTATAGGCCTATAGTAGCACAGATATCATCTTTCACAATAGTCTCATTACATACACTCGGATACGTACCGTAGAGTTGAAGTCATTAATTAGGTTGAGAGTGGGGAGTTTGAGGAATTCATAACCAGGAGGGTCTGCCGTGCAGTAGGTCGGCCGCATCGTGGCGATCCATGGTGCGCAGAGCGGCGGCCAGCGCGGCGGTGGCGCCCGGGCCGCGCTCGCGACACTCCCATAGCTCCAGGATAGCCTCTGTTGGCGAGCTTTTTGTGGCGAACCACGTCGTGTAACGATCCACTCCCAGCCTCGATGCCAGAGCCCGCCAGTCGTTCCCGCGCGCGTTTGGCGGATCCAATATAGCGCACAACTGCCTTTTTACTCGAGCACTTAATTTAAACGGGCCCTCGCCCGCGCACTCGTTGACGCCCGCCTCACTAACTGTTACGTTCCTTTTAACGCTGCCATCGCTCCCGTCTTCGCTGCGGCACATACGAGCCTCTAAAAGGTTTTCAGTTATGTTAAAACTGCGCTGCGATTCGGCGCGGGGTGAACGTCCCCGCGGTGATCGGCTCCGCACGTCGTCAAGGGATATTCGGAATGTCTGCTTGTATGACGGATTGGTTCTCTGACAGGCTGACACGCTGAAATCGATATTATCGCAATCATGAGTCCTCTCAAGCACAAAACTGCAATGTAATGCGTTGTAGTTCGAGCCCCAAACATGTTGGAAGGGGATCTCTTGGTAACCAATACCCGGTTTGGCTTTCCAACCAGGGCTGACATGTTCCAAGTTCAAACAGAGATTCGATCCACCGTCTTGGAATAGCAAAGTTTTAGGTCGCTCGAGTAACACGCCGCCAAGTTTCTTCTCCTGTTCCTGACAGTAGTAGGCTGCGCAAAGCGTATCTTCAAATACATAAAGTCTTATGCTGTAATCTGCACTGGTTTCACTCAGTACTGCGGGCGCATATATCGCCAATTGAAGCGCCTTCACTGCCTTTCCATTAAAACTTTCACCGACTAATACAAAAGTAGACAGCATATCGGTCACTAAGAATATTTTATCATTGTCGAGTTGAGTGAACACGGGAGTATTGATCGTTTCTTGGCCGAGGCCGACGATTTTCTTCCATTGTGGCTGCGTATTATCTGTTTTAGCAGTATTATGGTCGATGGCGTACAGCGAGAGATTCCAGAAGCCGTGTTTTAGACTGGCGCAATGAGGGATTTGTAGGATGACTGACTTGTTTAATTGAAGACGCGGTGGGCCGCACTTAACTACTGGGCTCAGCTGCGTGATACCTGCGGGGCGGAATTTGTTGTGAGCACTTCGTATTCTACATGTAGTACATGTGTGTTACAACCCGGCCTGCCCAAGGCGACCGTTTTTTCCCAAGCAGAAATTATACCTCGCTGATACCATAGCATAATTACACATCATTTAAAATTACCTCTTGAAATTGTTCTCTATCGTATCGCAAAATCAATTTATTTTTATTAGACTTACATTCAAGCAAAGTTATTCAGTTTGAACTCATAAATATTCATTGAAATTTGATGGTTTAGGGCATAATAAATACAAGAGCGGAACATCGAAAATATTTATCGAAATTTAATTATGTATTACATCAGCAAAGTTTGACTTTTAAATATAAAAATGGCTTTTAAATTTTAATTTCATGATCAATTTTTTATCTAATTAAAATAATTCGTACCTTTTCCTAGTCTTGGTCGATAGCGGTCGTCTTTGACGACTGCGACATATATTTGCTCCCGCCTGCCCCTGCTAAGGGCAGCTTCGGGGATAGAGAGGGCAACACCAGCGGCAGGTAATGCCAACCTCGCTCCAGCACTTGAAACTGAGAGGGACTGAGATGTAGGCGAGTTTGACACGAGTTCCGCTAGTTGGAGAGTCACGGACTCATTTGCAGCATCGTACATTGAGCCAGCTAGAAAAGAAATTATAGTCAGTGAAATCGTTCTTACTGTTTAATAATTTGAATATATTTAAGGTAAGTAGGTTAAAATCTAATCTGATATTATAGCTTTCAACTGAATAGTCTTAATTTAGACATTAATTGAAAGGCAAGTAAGGAACTTACAGCTAGTAAAACAGCTGGAAGCAGAGTGTTCTGATTCACTGTAAGGCTTGCTGTCGTAGTCGTCACTTTGGCCCTTACTGGAGGCACAAGGAGTCACTTGATGGTCTACAGGAGACGCATAGCTGCAAAAAAGAACTCTGTCAATAATGTTATCATAAACGGAATTTGAGACGTATTCCTAATGCAAAGGTCTTTTAAACAAACCACGAACGGTTCATTTATTCCAATTTCTGCACCCGACAGACAATTTTCAGCAATAATAGACTTTATTTCAAAGACAAAGATCCATGATTAAACTTCTGCGAAATAAAATCAATTCAAAATCAAGTTAGTGAATATTATAATAATTTATTGTTCGTGGCACAGCTGCCAGAAAAAACTTTACCAGTATAAACGCTGGTTAAAAAGCGGTCGCAAAAATTCGTTCATTTTTTGCTGTTATACTATTAACTTAAAACGAAACCAGTTATTTATTTGGTAATCCATCCGGAACATTATCGTTAAGTAACATATCGCTGAAATTGTTATTAACATCATTCATAAAACATGTATCTATTAACTTTTTGCTCAATTAAAACCTTATCGACGATCAGACTCATCTATCAAAGATTGTATGTGGTATTTGTTTTTAGTCGCTAAATCGTTCGGGGACATGAATTATGTATTTTGTAATTGCGTCTTCTCTTATAATTAGCGTTTCTAATCGTCATAGTTATTAAGCAAAAAATGTTATGATTTATTTCATTGCCGTCTTTAGTATTTGTTTGTTCTAGTTTAGTCGTTAACTTGTTAATCTTAATTGTAATTTATTCCTTATAGATGTCCTAACTTGATTCGCCTGAGGACTCGTTTTAATTAGACACGCTAGTTGTAAATAATAATTTAGCTAATTTATTTGTTTGATTTAGATTTTAACGGTTATTTAGAGCTGTGTCACTTTGTAATTTATATTTGAATGTCTTTAATGGCTTTGCCATTTACTGTTGGTATGGGACTAACAAGCTGTATAGCCTTAAGGATTCAGGTTTTTTTTTATTTCATTTGAACTACGAGGCAAGCAGATCAAAACAAGATACAGCACGTTTGTCATTCATGCAGTACTTGGTACGTAAGGACACATTCGTCTACGGCGTCGTAGATGTATGAAGGTAAATTTCTACTTTTATTTCTTAGTGTCATATTTGGCATCGTCAGACTTTAAAGAAGTGAAATTAAAAGTGAAAACAATCTCAGAAAAAGGTACGTGTTTATATAGGTATTATAGTAAAATAATTGAACATGGAAAAAAAATATGCAATGCAATCCATTATAAAACTAACCTGTTAGTAAGATGCGGTACATCATAATGATGTTCAGCTCTAGAGTCTGGTTGTGGATGCTCGTATCTTGGAGGACGATGCTGCATCAGATCTGGTGCCAGAGACAGAGACTGTTTCTCCACTGTAGGATACATTTCAGGCTGGAAATCTGCTTGAAGAAGAAATATTGAAATTTGAATGATGTGGCATTATAAAAGAAATTTTATACTAAAAGCGTAAATACGAAAGTTGGCGAGGATGGAACTATGTAATTTTTTACTCTTCTACTCAAAATCTGCAGAATGGATATTATTTTAAGAGATAAATAAGATATAGTCTCGAATAACGCGAATATACACGACTTCTTATCAATATTAATCAGTTTATCATAGTCTCATTTTACATGAAGTTTACGAACTAATGAATTTTTAACATTCTAGAGTCCGTTTATACCGGATGTTACAGACGTGTATACTGATTTTATTATAGAAATCGCATCAACTGCACTTAATTTTTTTTATATTTAGATATTATACAATATTAATTAGGTATTGTTCTGTTGATGACATGTTCTATTATAATAATCATGAAGCCAGTGTTGACAGCTAGGAAATGGATATCCGAGTGGAAGTTCTCGAGTTCTTGCAAGTGGTCTATGATAGAATTAATTAGTACTTATTCTTAACCGACAATTCATTTTACTACCGATTGTGTGTATCAATAGGTATTTCCGGATTCTTTCATTTCAACACATTTGTCAAAGAAAATAATTTTGATGTTTTATTTTTTTATAAATGTAAGGAGAAAAATGTACAAACCGTTATTTGTCCATAAAAAAAAAAACACAAATAAACGAATTAATGATAAAGTAGACAAGGTTTCAATCGTATTATAACTCTAAGATGTTTTCCGATAAACTCAATGTGTATAATATTTAAAATGGTCTCTTCATTGCAAAAAATACATAGCAATACACGATAATCACTAAACACACTAGACTATGATTTCTATATATAAACGAAAACTTCTTAGATACTTACCAGTTCTGGTCATAGTGTACAACGAATGGTCCCTGGTCTTCCTCTGTAGAAGTTTGTAGACCACTGCAGCTCCAGCCAAGAAAACTACCACAGCTACTGCTATACCAATATATAGTGGTATATCGCTGTGTGCTGCAACTGTTGACAAAGAAAAGAATATGTTATTGAGTTAAGAATAGGGTTTAAATTATAATGCTTGAGAGAAAATAGAATTCTACAGATGAAGAAATAGATTTGATTTATCCGAAGTACTGAAGAAGTACACTAAATTAACAGTGTCATAATATTGTCAGAAAAATGCGCAAATAATTTTGAAGGATGACTCTTTTATTTTGTCAAAACAAAGAAAATAATATTTGTAGCAATAAAAATAATGCTCGTCTCTGTCATAACACTGAAGGCGAACTTTTGCTTGTCAGCTCAAAAAACCACAACTTGAAAACAGAACACATTCATCATTCCACACAAAGAAACATAAATTACATTGTTAGTTCGTCCCGCAAACTTTTAAAAGGCTCCACTATCCGAGAACATACCTAACATTTGTATTCAAAGCAAACAACAACAAAAAAAAAAACTATAAAACATCAACTTATTAAACACCTGATAAACTTTTGTGGTCATAAAAAGGGTTTAACGATAAAATAACGATGTGTCAATTTAACGATTTCCGTTATAAGCCCAATACAAGAGGCAAATTCGTTGAAATTCAAACTTTTCGACCGCAATCGTTAAATTTGTTTACGTTCATTCAAAATGTACTTTACTCCGCGTTGTCGGCAGCACCTTGGTATTATTTATGTCAACGTGGCTTTAAAGCCGTGTTCCAGAGAGAAACACAAACGCTCATTTAAATCCCAAAAATAGTACAAGCTAGTTTTAATTACGAAGTGACTTTAAAATACAGCAATTAGGTAAAACTCCACGTTTTAGGGAACTTAATAGACAATCTCTTTGGTTATTTAGTCCAGATTACAGTTCATTTCTTTAAAGTCAATCAGAAGTATGATGTCATCTTTAAAAACTATATGAACAAAACTCCTAAACTTTTTAACTCCTTATTTTTTATTCCTGCCTTTCGTTAAAACGTCTAAGAAACCCGAAATATCGTTTCACGTTTACGATTTATAAAAAGTGAAGCTGTCGTAAAATTTACATATCGCCGCATTCAATAATACGTCACAATCTTCAAAAAATGTACCGGCGGCATTTTTTAACGATTATACAGTTCTTTTTTTTTGGTATAATTCCTTGCCGTGAAAAGGACTCGTTATTGGATTTTTTTAACGATCCCTTTGATCCCTGCATAGTGGTTGTAAATGTGGGTTTAAGGGAAATTGTTGGGACATATGGCATCTTACTTTAAAGATCGCTTACTGCTAATGCGCTTCACGTGGCCGATGTAAATTTAATGGATTTTGACGAGTAATTTGAGTTTTCTTAATTTTTTATACTTCCTATTTTATGTTTTTGTTTTATTGCATTGATATTCTGACTTTGAACTCTTTGCTTATCAACATTTATTATTTTCACTACTAGTACTAGCTACGATTGTTGTCCCTTATCTGTATCTGTTCTGCCTATTCCCTTATTAAGTTTTAATTGCAGGTCAAAGTATTTTTTTTGCAATTATCTTGTTCATGATTCAGTCACGTCTAGCTGTTTACATTTTCTGCGTATGTGCTCTAATCAGCAGTTTATTTCTGGCTTTTAGTAATACATGTAGTTTTGGTGACAACAAGATATCATTCATATTTCAATGCGTTCTCATTTCGTACAGCCCTTTCATTTATTAAATTCAGACCAGTGAAGTTGAGTCATTGGTCTTACTCATGCCCTGACATGACATGTGGCACCGATTATGCTAATTTCATTTGTCGACAATATTATTCGTTATACGACATCTTTCCATTTCCTTTCCTTATTGGTAATCTTCATATGGTTTTCAAAAATAATTGAACTGATTTTAATTTTGAGTATTGCACTAAGAAGTTTTTAGCAAAGAAACGTGTGCGTTGAAATTTTGTTACTATCTGTTATATAAGTCATTTATTACTATCCTTAAATCAATATTTTTTCTGGTATTCGGTACAACTATATTGAAGCTGAAAGTGGTAAATCGACACCACTCATTATTGCAAGGGAATCGTCGTGGTCCAACATTATCAAATGTTTTTATAATAACTATCGTGAGACATACTAAATTAACTAAAATTCGCGGGTTACTCACGTGTAAATGTTGAGAAAAGCTCTACTAGTTTCGAACCACAGAGGGGTTCTTCCTCATGAGCAGCGTGCGCGGACGCGGCGACGTCGCCGCGTATCAAATGTCATTACCACAATCACAATCTTCAAATCATCTTTTTCCATATAACTATTTTTAAACAACACATATAAAAATACGTCTTAGTCAAGTCAAAAACCCGTTCCTCGTAAAAAATGCATAGAATATGACTAATCATAATTCTAAAGATAGAACATAAATCGATCATTTACGAAGAAAAATCATGGGAACAAGAAATAACAAAGTAAGAAACAAACGCTTGTAAAACCGCAATGGTGCAACGCAAAACGATTTTCCACGGTTAGAATTTACACCTTGAATAGAACAGAACATAGACCTTAGCATTCTTACATTTCTCATTTACGTGACACAATGGAAGGAATTAATAGGCTGTTGAAAGCTCAAATAGCTAACACGGAACAAATGTGAGAGGGAACAAGCTAATGAATGAACATTTGTTTTCAATAATGTGTTAAGAATCTTGGTTCTGTTGTGGTATTAAAAATTTACCATAAAGCCGGAAATATACTTAGGTGTCGTGTTGCGTGTTGTCAAATGTCAACGCGTGTTGATAAGTTTCACGTCATCAGTGTTTCCTTAACTTCGGAATGACGATAACTGTTCTACAGTCTACTGAGTCTATTGGTAGCCATTTTCAACAAGAATTGGAATAGTTTGATCAATTCAATCGGGGATTCATTTTGTATGATAATGAATCATTTGACAATGTAGAGCAATCTGTTTTGGTTGGAATATAACCTATACAACCTGTTATTTCTAATAAAAACAAATATAAAGTCGTATTTTATAAAAATACATTTTAATATCCCTTATTATTTCCGTTCTGCATAAATGTTATTATTTTAAATATCATTTTTATAGTGCAGGTATTCTTTATTAGTAATATTAATGATTCATATTATGAACAAAATGAGATCGCCCCGAGCAATAAATGAATGAAGCCATTTTCTCTGTTCAATAATTTGATAACGATCACGAATACTCGTTCGTAATTAAAAACAAGCTTTTGAATAACACCGCAGTAGACCTGTTATGTTTCAATTCATTTGCATTAACTTCGAAATGATATGATAAATATCTTGTCGAAGACAAATTATTAAGAAAGAAAGAGCAAGACAGAGAGAGGGAGGTAGATATATCAAATGAAGGCAAACAAAATCTGTTCCTAAATTTGGTATAAAATGTTTTAAAATGTCATACAATTTTATAAAACATCGACAATTTTGATTCCTTAATGAAGTACGTTAGGTACAGAATTAATAAAAAGTTCATCGAAAATACATTAGCTGTGCTAAAGACGAAACAATAAAAAATCTAGCTTCACAAAAATGTGTCAGAAATTCCAATGGTCCCGAATAGTTCGATAACTTGGCTATTATAATATAAACGGCGTATCGAATGACCGGGATCTGAGTCGAATGTAATAAATTAATAAACATCGTGACCGTACGAGCTATTTGGATTCGATAGTGATCGCTGTAATTGCTGCACGCAAGTTGATGCTACCATGTGGAATAAGTGGACGTTTAGTGTTAAATTCTATATCGAACATGTCGGAACTTGTTTTCGGGTATTAAATAGGTCACCTTCAATAGATTGTTATCATGAACAGTATTAATAGTTACATTTTTTATTCGAACACCCGTCGTATGTATTTTATCCTAAGAAAACAAAGGCTGTCTCTGTATTTCAAGTCCAAAACCTTAGTTTTAAAAATTATATTTTCCACTCAACAATTTATCGATGCACACTAAATAGGACACCACGTTCAAAACAAGGTAATCTGTAACCCACTTATTTTCCAAATTTAATTTAATGATTATAA